TAGTGCCAGTTTTTTCCTCTGGCAGTTACTGTTTTGCTTTGATGAAGAGTGGTATTCATGTTAAAAGATTAGAGGAATCAATTCTCCAGGACGTGCAGAAAGTTCTTTTCATGTTTGATTACTAAAAGTGCCATGGAGTTGGAGTACACTTGAGCAGCATATAGCTAATCCATCTGAACAGTCAACTGCAGGATTCCCACTCCTGCATCTTGCTGCATTGGAACATACCAGTGATTGATTTAGCTTTGTCTACATGCATATTTCCCAAAAGATGTAATGGTCTCTTAATGCACCTGATTTTCAAAAACTGTAAGTACTGAGAGAAATTTCTAGGTCCACCTTGTTGCCTTCATAGGTAGGCTGACCATAAAGAAATCCAGTTTGGGGACATTCAACTGGGATGCTGCCCCCTCTCCCGTGCTCTCATAAATTGATACGGGCAGGGTGGTGTGCCTGCTTGCAAAGCACTCTATGCTGCTCTGACTCCCAGCCGGACTGAGCCCCACACCCCTGTGTTTCATTATAATTTTCAACAGCTGGCTGAGACCAGCCTCTGAAATCCAGGACTGTCCCAGCTAAACTTGGACATATGGTCACCCTATTTATAGGCCTATTTGATGAATTAGTAGAGCTATGGGTCAGTTATACTTTCATGCATATGAACTGAATCACAGCCTTTGTAATTTTATCTTTCTAGTGTAACTTCAAATTCTCCTTGTATTAATGTGAATGTTTAAGTTCAGTGATGGCAGACAAAGGTGGTGACGGTTCATACAAGACTGACAGGATGCACTTTGCTGTATCTTTCATACCTGGGTGTGTGCCACTAGCAATGAATGAAAAAGCCTACTAGATCACGAATCTGAATGTGTATGTAGGGAACTTGCATGAAGTTGGAAAGCAAAATTTTAACATCTGTTTTCTGCTAGGAGGCATCTTCATTTTTCATGTTTCTCATTTGTTTCCTGCTTTTTACCTCCCGCCCCTGCCCCCAGTTTATCTAACATAAATATTCATTTCCCAAACAGAAATATATAAGTATGTATAAATACACAATCACAAAATGCTCAGTGAAACTCCCTTTATTTATTTCACTTGTGTTGTTGCTGTTGTTGTATAAGAAAGAGCACGATAACAAAAAGAACAAGGTAAAATAAAATTGTAACTGACCCAAACATTTTTAACACATCCAGATGCAAAGATGCTCTCTTTCTCTCTGCCTTTCCATTCCATTCTCTTGACCAAGCATTTTCTGTTTATGAGCCAAATTGATCTCTGGTATACCTTCACTGAATTACACCAGATATGACTTTGTTCCTCTATCACAGGCAATTACAGTAGGAATAAACTGGTCATGCAGGCAGAGTGTCATCAATAAGTGCATTGAGTTATTCCTGGCAAACCAATAAGAAAGTTTTCAAATAAAAATCCCAAACAGGTCTTTTAATATAAGGCCTAAGAATCTATCGGGAGCTGATGAATACTGCCCACTAACTGTACAAAGTATAGATAGCATGCCTTCCAAATATCAAAATATCAGAGGAATGCTGTGAAAATAAATAACTTCTAATATAAACAAATGAGAACATATCAAACTGTTACCTCTTTAAACATATTGTAAATAAAAAAAATACCAATCCTTCTACACAATAAATATTAAGAAACCATTGACATAGTTGAAATGTACTCATATAAATTAACAACTTTAATTACATTAGCCAAACGGACATTGGTTAAAGCACTGCATGTAGTATGCAAAATAATAATAATAATAATAATAACATCAACAACAAAACACAAAATGATAAAAACAAAATAGGCTTCATAATATCTTGGCTTTCATAATTTATATATATATGTATATACATATATATTGATGTATGCATACATAGTAGATATATATAATATGTATACATACATATACATATATATCTTCAACCATTGTCAATGTGTTGTTTTCAAACTGTTTAAATACAAAAACCCATTGCGAATTAATACAAATTCACTGTATCTCAAAAAATAAATAACTATAAAACCCCAAAGTGGCATTTGTTTCTCCCCATGGAACTGTGAATTTTAATTGTCATGTAGGGCTGGATAATGATTTCCTTCACTCATACTGAGTAGCACCATACCTACAAGTGGCCCCTTGGAAGACAATGAGATAATTATGGAGTAAAGCTCTCTTCAATATAAGTGATCACAATTTGGTTCTTACACTGATCCATATTATGGATTATCATTGACTTGAGGTTTAAATTAAGCACTATAATAACTTCTACCATATCCCTTCTACCTACATTTTAAGAATAGATTCCACAATCTTTATTCATTTTGAACCATTACTTACTATTTATATAGACCCAATGAGATCAATAGGACTACTTGAAAGGTAAGGCACTATTCAGTATGAGTAAGACAGGCCCTTAAAATTTTCATTTAGCAGGGAGACTTTTGTAGGCGACTAAGCTTTCCTAACGGAAAGATGATGCTGCCAACTTCTCCTTCGGTTCATTGTACCTCACTTAAATGAACTTGATGACTTGAATCCCAACTAATTACAAATAATGGGCTATTTATGATTCAGTACTACTTTACAATGATTGTTAAGGGACTGCTCCTATTGGAGTCAATGGCAAAACTCCCATTACCTTCAGTGGATACAGGTTTGGTCCCTAGATCAGCAATCTGTTCTGACATGTAAGTGGAGAATAATCATAAGCATCTGTAAGCATTTACTTTTACTAAAGCCCCAGAATACAATCACAGATAAATACATTCATCCCTACAAATGCGTATATTAATGTACCAAAGCAGGCCTTCTGGGCCTTATATGCTGTCAGCATCTGGCATTTGTAGATTTTTTTAAGAGGAAGAAGGCAGCATTTTTCAGGCCAGAGGAACTGTACAGCAAAAATGCTAGAGATACTGAATAAATATATATCAATTATCAAATATATACTGAAAATATATTTTGAACGTTAAACTTCACAGGGAATAGACTACATGCAAGAGAATATGTTAGCAGTTAACATTTTTTTCATTTGTTAGTACTGTACCTGAAAGGAGAGGTTATTTGTGAGACAGCATGCCCTTGAACTGGTGGAATATGGTAACAACATGGTAACAATTTATAATACTGTTTTGAGGACATGCAGTTTTAATTAAACCAGATTAAACTAGGGATAGGGATGTTGTGCTGGAATCAGTCATCTTTAATTAACTTCCCAATTTCTGATTTTATTTTTTCATATAGCTTTTCATATCCCTCTGCTTTAAATAGCTCTGACCACAAATCAAAACCCCATGACTGAATCTAGAAATTGAAGGGAGAAACCTTTACATTTTGGAAACGTTGTCCATAGAAATGAGAGCTACTGAGCAGGACTTGGGAGCACTTACTTGTAACTTGAACAATATATATTTTTCATGTAATCCACCCACCACATCGAAAATCCTCTTTTCTTTCGTCACTTGAGAATTTTGTCATGATAATTTCATGTTTTCCAGAACCAGTTCCCTATTCACCACATATAAATTTGTGGAATGAGTTGGCCTTTTGAGCTATACAACATCAAACTTTAAAAAACAAACAAACTTAGCTTCTGTCTGCTCTGCTCTGGCCAATAATATTGTGGGGCTAGTCCTACTCCAGCTGAAAACTCCAATTGGAGTTTTGTCCTTTTGTTTCATGGGAGAAAGATTGGAGTTTGTGTTAACACTTCTCTACATTAATCACTCTTAAGAACAGTTTTTGCTAGCACAAAGCATCTAAATAGTTACCCTTGCCAGTGCAGACAGATATTAGCCATGCTTTAAACTGATTTACAGAACAACTCTCTCTAATCAAATAAAAGTGAAAATGAGATCATGTAGGATGTGGCCATCATTCATGCAAATATTCCTTCCTTATATATGTTGCCTGCAATGAATCAAAATTAATGACCCAGCCTGGCTTACCTTTACTTATGTGAGTAGTTTTACTAGTCTTACATATAGCCTTGCTGAATTCATTGAGACTAGCAGCATGAGTAAAGGTTCTGGGATGCTATACACAAAAATTAAGAGGTCTTACCCAAGCCCACTCAAGTAAAAAACTTTGGATCAGGTCCCTAGCACTCGAGGGCCGAAGCCTACTTCTATTGAAATCAGCAGTAATTTTGCCATTCACTTCAAAGAAAAAATATTTGTTCAATATAGAAAGACAAATTATTTGTATATTTTTTATTCCCCCTTACAGAAAAATCTCTTGTAAATAATTTAAATTAGAAAGCCTAGATATTTTACAGAATACTTTAGTGACAATTTTAGTGTTTAACCAATTGTTACAAATTTTTACAAAGTTTTTTTTTTTGCAAACTGCAAACAAGTCTGTAAAAAAATGCATTGTATAAAAAGTACATAAATGTATAACCCATTAGCTGTACTATGCAATCTAAATACTGTGGAATAAATTAGATAGAAAACTTAGCTATAAGCATGTACATTGATATTTATTCAACAGAGGAAAATATTTTTTTTCTTTTTCTATTCTTTTTTCTTTTTTCTTTTTTCTTTTTTTTTCTTTTTGCATCCCATTCAATACATATAAACATGCACACACACACTCATATCCACCCACCCACCCACACACACACATGCACTAATGCACACAAAGAGTTTTGGCTGACAAAAATAAAGGCCCTGATTACACTGTTTAAATATGGTTCTTGCCATGAAGGTGCTAACATGCTATCCCTAGCCAATGTGATAGAGCTAAATTGTGCTATGAAAGTGTTTCTACAAACCATGCTGTCACCAAGGTAGGACCCATGTGAACTATTTTTTAGCAAGAAGTATTTTTAAGCACAGCTCACTAAAATATTGCCAACATGGGGAGTTGGTCCAGCAAACTTTTGGAACTTGAAAATAAGTTCTAAAACTCAGTGTAAACAGGGCCTGAACATTACTCCCATTCCCTCTAGCCTTCTCCCCTACCCAAAGACAAATATCTTTATTTTAGAATTCTTTTAAATATGATCGTGATAGAATTTTTAAAAACCTATCTAACTATGCCCTATGGGTTGGACCCTTCAGGTTAGGTGTTGACACAGGAAATTAGGTCTTATAAATAACGTGCAAACTCATCAAGAGTTGCCAAACTGGAGGGTGGTGGTTGAGAAAGCCCATCTTTTATTAAAGACTGCATTTGAAACAGAAATTACATCATAGCTTTCATTTTGCTTTGTGTTCTACAGGGTGGTGGTGGGCAATGCACAAAGCTGCAATGCAGTGTTACATCAGACCTTCTAACTGTACATTGGAGTTTTAGATTTCTTTCATACAGGGTGATCGAGTTTTAAATGTGTTCCCTCCAACTGATTAAAAAATAAACAAATACTATTTTAATACACTGTGCTAGGCACACAAACATTCATTGTTTTAAGAACATTAAAGTGAAGCCTGAAGTGCTTATACTGTGTGTATACATACATATATATATGTGTGTGTGTGTGTATTATGTATATACACGCACACACACATATAGATATATATTTGTATGAAGCTGTTTTCCTACAGTGTACAGCTGCTGTACATCGAGGAGAAGTCTTAGTGTCGTGCATGCAGAAGGAGTAACAATTATTCTACAGATGGGCCTGAAACGGAGCCCGGGATGCTAAGGCCAGGATTTTCTGGGCATCTGAAATCCAGAGCCAAACCCAAGTCCCAGTTTTGTGTTTAGGGCAGTATTTAAATTAAACTAGTTAACAGGTATACCAGCCTGAATGTGATCAACTCCACCAACCTTTAATATAAATCCTGACTAATTATTTATGAATGGTACCAACCACAAATAGACTGATTAGAGGCTCACACAAACGTCTTTGGTGTATGTGTCTATTCTTTTAAAGGTACAAAATAATAATAATTATAATAATAATAAAAATAGCTATCTTGTGTGCTGTAGCAGTTTTTGTATAGCTCACAATAAGTGCAGCTCTCAACCCGTCCCACTCCCGACCACCCTCCCTTGAAAATGCTTGTTAAATAAGGATTAGACAGGTCAAACACCATTGTAGTGCAAATAGTAAACGATTAAATTTTTTTTTTTACAAAATATAGAAATGTTTGGCTCCAGTAACTGGACAAACATGTTCCTTTCAAGTATCTCTCATTGAAGAAAAAAATTTAAAATGAGTTACTTCCATTTAAAAAAAAAGTCTTTCTTCTTTTTTCTCTCTCAGGTAAACAGTTTCAAACCAACTAGGTTGCATAGTTCTAACGTAAGCACCTTTACGAAATGTAACTTTGTATTCTTACTTTCATTCTTTTTATTTTTTCTCTTCTTTTTTCTTCTTTCTTCTTTTTCTTTTTTGCAAATGTAGTGCAGAAGATGAAGGTGTGTACACCTGCGCAATCTTGTCCCTTTACCAAGATATGTATATGTGTGTGTATTGTGTGCACATGTCTATGTGTGTGCATATATATATATATACAGTTATATATGCACACACAGAAACACACCTATATGGAAACAGTACACACACACTTATGTCTTTAGTAAGTTGCGGGGGGAAAGTGCCAGTGAATGTAGTGTTCATACACGTGGCTTTTTCTAGGAATTTATTTCAATGCCATTTTGGACTCAGAGTCCAAATTGCTGCAGGTTAGGCAAGCTGCTACCACGGCTTGAACAGATGGGTAACTATGGAAGGGAAAACAATCCCCCTTGTTACAAATAGTGTTTAATATACTATATAATAAAATATGGAGTATATTGAAAGGAAGGGATTGTCCCTCCCCGTACCGCCATTCAAACGTTTCTCATTCAAGCCTTGGTTAATTATACTTTTCTTTTTCTTCCTTCGTCTGCCTTGAGGGTTGTTTTTTGAACTCTGGGTCTTGTCCTTTTTTTTCTTTTCAAATTATATTTGATTGTTTTATTCAGAAAGGTTATGCCATGTCAGGTCTTTCCTCTTCTATGTTTTTTTTAATTCTCTCCTCACCAGTAGGAGAAGGCTCTCGGAGTTCATATATGAATCTATGAGCAGCCACACTCCTCCACAATCATATTCTGAATGTCCTTTTTAATGATGTTCTGTCCATCATCATAGTATAACATGGACATGGGCCGCAGCTTGGTCGGCACACAACAGGACTTGAGGTTGGCAAAGGGGCTGTGGCCCCGCATTCGGTAATGATTGATGACAGTGGAGTGGAAAGACAATGATGAGCCAGAGGTGCCCGCTATATGGCTGGGGCACTCACCTTCGCAGTAGTTAGCATGGTAACCTGTGGGTGCTATGATCCAGTCACTCCATCCAATGTCCTTGAAGCTGACAAAGAACTGCTTTTTGCAGCAGATGTTGACCTTGCCATCACACTCCAAGCCCCGTCTCCGTCGTCTATGCTGGCGGTCCTCTGAATGCCGGGCAACCATCATCAGGAATGGTCTGTGGGATTGTTCCTTCTCCTCTTCTCCGTAGATTCTTCAGCTTTCTTTTTTTTTCCCTTCCTCATCATCTTCCTTTTTCTTCTTCTTGCCCATTAGCACCAGGCTGGCACCAGTCTCTTGACACTGGTCACAGGAAATCCGCACATCCAGGGAGCTCTTGCCTTGGTCCAGGAGGTGTTGCACACTATTAGAGACAGGGAAGATATGCCAGGTACTTTTACGGGTGTCCACTGCCTTTTCAGAAATGAGAGTCTCACTCTTTTCACCTGTCAACCCCACATCCTCCACCTCTTCTGCCCCTTCAGAGTTGCCTTTGGGCTGACGATGCTGCTGGTATAGTCGGATGGTCACTTTTGTTCTGCTCCGGTTGGCCTTAGAGACTTTCAGGAAGAGCCACACTTCAGCATTCTCCACTACTGATAGTTCACTGCCTTCCTTGGATATCTCAAAGTGCAATGTTCTCTTGGGTGTGCCTGAAGTAAATAAAACATATCAGAAGAACCAATTAATACAGGCTTTGTTTTTTGGGTTTTTTTCCACCATCAGAATAAAATTGCTCACATTATATTTAATATTAGATACTCCCTATTTTCCATTATAACCTTTACCACCCACCCCATCTTCTTCCCTTTCTCTTCCAACTTACTTGCTACTTACTTTTTTTGCTCTGGTCATTTTTTTTACTGCCTGACTTATTTTCCAGTATAAAACTCCAATGGCAGCATTGTACCATGATAGAAATAATCTTGTACATTTATTCATGTAGAGTGTTTCATGGCAAAAGGGCATTAATGGCTGGCTAGAGATTCATTTTGTTTACCTGTCATTTTTTATTACTATTAACCCAAATGGGAAGAAACTCCTGTAAATATCATTCATAACAATATTTAACACACATACAAATCTGTGCTTTGTAATCAGAATTTGGGAGCTAGTTCCATCCCCACATAAGTCTTTGGGAGTTTTGCCATTGATTGAAGTGAGGGGGAAGGATTTAGCCTCTGGTCTTTCCTTATGTAAATTAGCATTATTCTTTATGAAGATGTTATAGTGTCATTAGCTTCAAAAACCTAGAAATACTGAAATATCACTGCTAGCATCAAGAGGTTTTCAGGCATGGTTTTGTGTTCTGCAGTAAGCATATTCTTCCTTCTGTGGAATACTAGCTATAGATTCTGTTCTTAATTTAACACACTCTGCTCTTTGTGATTATAGTAATGGTAAATCCACTGAGAAATGAGCTAAGGAAAAACTGCATATTTATGGGGAGGGTTCTTTGGCATAGATGTATAAACTTGCTGAGATGTCAGTGATGATAATTATAATGGTGAGGGGGAGTTTCTTTGATACAGACTTCATATCCCTGGCAGAAGTTGAAATGAATAATGAGGGCTGTTTTTATTATTTGATCACTAGAGCGTGAAGAAGTTGAGAGAGAATGAATTAGCTGGGGGGGGTTTAAAGAGAGGAGGTTTTCTTTTCTTTTTTTAAGTCTGTGGCATTCTAATTTGTAAGGAAGCTAGATATTTTTTTAGACAGGGGAAAATTCCAATGCTCCAGGGAAAAAAGGGCTATGTGTTTTCGGTATGGCAGGCAGCGGGATAGATGGGGCACAGTCTTGGAAATGATGAATGCCTAACTTCGTCAATAAATCGGGATGGGTTCTGAACCCCTTATTTGTACTGAGCAGCATGCCGTTCCATACTGTGGCAATATGTGACACTAGGCAGGATATTAGCGTTTTGCCCATCAAAAGTCAATGGCTGATCAAAAGCAACATGATAGAACCAATGCACGAGAAAGAACATGTGACAAGTGATACTACATTAGCAAGGTTGCATTATCTTTTTGCTCTCCAAGGATTTGAAATATTAACTAACTAACTCTCACAAAAAGGCTTTATAGCCCCATTTTACCCATGGGGAAACTGAGACAGAGGATAAAGGGCTCACTTATGGCCACAAAGAAACCCCATTGAAAGAACTGGAGTTCCTGCTCTAAAACCTCTGTGCATGCTGCATGGCCCTCAAATCAGCCTCCTGCTTTCGTTCTCTGTGAAGTGCCACTGAGACGTTCAGCTTCTCTAGGTGGAATTCCCAGGTCAAAGAGACAGTCATTTCTAAATTCAAATGGCCAAGGGCACAGTGTTTTGGTTTTGTTTTCCTTCCAAGTGAGAGTGTGAAACTGTAGCCTTAAACTGTCAATGGGATAGGAAAACACATGGCTTGTGTTAACTGTTTCCCACGGACTTTGATGATACCTGTCTCCAAAGGAGGTTAAATGTGATTCTCATGGAATTAAACAAGGAGTGGGGTACTTCCTACAAAGCCGTAGCCTTTCTCTCTTAATTAAATGAAAGCTTTGGTAAAAAGAGGTCAAAGAGGTCGAGAAAGAGGCCATGCAAGCTGACAAATACTTTGACATGTTGTAAATATTTTTAGAATGACAGTGTCACTCAATAGTGATTGAAAGGTGATGATATGGACCTTCTTGCTGCTTCAGAGTTGGTGCTCGTGCTTCAATTCTGGAAGTTAAATAATGGCAAAACTAACTGCTGTATTAGAGCAGAAGGCTTGTGATATATATAGATATATCTACATAGATATATAAACTGTAGGTGTAGATATCTTAGGAATGTGGAAGTATTGACAGCTAGGCTTAAACTTGATCTGAAATCAGCTGAATCCAAACCAAAATGTAAGAACACCTCAAAATTCTGGATCTGAACGTAAAAAAAATTCTTAGTGGCCTTTAAGATGTATGGTAAACATACCCTTTATCACATGCCTGCCTTTCTGAGCACAGCACTTAGAGCAGACGTGAGACCATGTTGTACCTTAGCATATAAATAGTATCTCCCTCCACGTTCTGTGTTGGGCACCTCAATTCAGTTCAAATGCCTGCTCTGCATTTTGAACTGTCTGCCTTGTGCTTGGTAGTCTAGTGGTTAGAGCAGTTGTGCAGGTAAAGGAAAACTTGGGTTCTAGGCTGACCAAAACCTGAAAGTATCACATCTCTCATTTCTTAAGAGAGTGCCCTAAACACAAGGCTATGAGCTAGGCTGTGTGAGAACAAACTCCAGGCTTCTTGTTGAAGCTGGTTCACTGTGCAGCCAAGAAGGAAAGAGTCATGGGGCCAGAGGGAGAGGAAGCAAGGGAATGTGACATTTTGACTCAGTGATGAGGATTCTCCCTGGAAGGGAAGAGTCCTGGATTCCACTAGTTTCTGCCAGCATAATATCTGTTTTTCAACCAATGGCTGAGTATCATACAAAAAAATAAAAAATAGAAAATGCTGGGAACAAGTAGGAAGGGAGATGGAAGTGCTGCCAGGAAGTGCTGAAACCACTAGGCTACAGAATCCGGCTCCCTCTTTTTTCTTATCCTTCTGATCCCATGACACTTGCACTCTTGTCCCTCTTGACTCCCCAGAGGTGTGGTGCTAGGTTCCTTAACCTCGCTAATCTTATAGCCTGGTGGTTATGGTGCTCTCCTGGGAAGTGGGAGAAGTGGTTTTGAACTCCTTCAGGGCGCCCAGGTTAAAGTGAATGCTCTACCCACTAGACTGGCAGCAACAGCAAGGCCTTCTCAAACTCCTCATACCAGTGGAAGTCCCTTGAGGGACTTAAGCAGAGTTTTTGGAGTTGCTAAACTAGTTTGGATCAGTCTTGGGAAATTAAGTGTTAAATTCCTCTTAATTCCCATTTGTGCATAGCAAATAAATCGGATCTTGCCCAGGATCTCTAGATCTTTTTAAAGTAGTTTTTCACATGCTCATGTAATTCAGCAAGTTGAATTATTCACTAGTGATAGTAATTAGAGCTACATAGTTTAAGTACTTGAATAGACTTGCATTGCTTTTGCACAACCCCATTCCTTAACTACTGCAAATTAACACAAGATCCATTCTAAAGCAATAACAGCGTCACCAAAATTATTTACACATAGTTTCATACACAAATAATGGATAGAAATTCTAAGGAATGGCAAATGAAAGAGGGTCAAAGGACTACAAAGGATAAAGCAAATCCTTCATGTAGTCCTAAAGCCCTCATAATTTAACTAAAAATATTTTATAGCATAGAAAGAATTCTGTCTTTCTCAGTAAGCTGGGGATGAGAAGGGAGAAGGGAGAATTAAGACTGTCAGTGTTAAGAAAAAAATCAGAACTCTTTTGAATTCATCCCGCATTCAGAATCAGTTAATTGTGATATTGTATAAGCAGCATCTGGGAAGGAATGTATGGTGAAAAACTTAAGGTCCTGATTCAGTGTTTTCAAAAATTCATCATGTCAGGCAAACACCCACTGAAGTCAGTAAGAGTTCTGTCTAGCTAAGAACGTAATTAAGACCTTAGGTTTTGGTCCGCTATGAATTCACTGTATAGCAGAAGATTTTTTATGATAAAAAGGCCTATGGATATCATGAGCTGAATTCTTTCCTGGGTGTTTCAAAATGATATATTTCAGGGTCATTTGTTTTTTTTCAATTTTACTCTGTTTCAGTCACCTGTCCTTTTGGCTTCAATTGAAAACCTTACATTATGCTTTGGAAAGGTATGCTGCTTGCATATATAATCTTCTGTTGAAAAAAGCATGCTGCATACTTCCTGATAACTGGAAATTCACTGAACCCTTTGGGTGATATCATTTTCGAAAAGCACCTAGCAGTACTTTCATTATCCCTTTACTGTATTCCTTCATCTGCCATGGCTGCTTTTCAAGATGTTCTGCCCATTTCCCAACGTCCTGCTCCTCCTGCCTGATTCATGTAGAAAGGCCTACAGTCCCACATTGGCGGCTTCGGCACTTCACTTCTTACAATCAAGAATATTGCCTGAATTGTGGGTCCTGTTATCATAATAATAGAAAATGCCTCAGAAGGGAGAGAGAGGGACAGGGAGAGAGAGACAGAAGACAGTCTTATTCTGGAATGCTGGAACTGACTCTTCCCCATCTCTCTCCTCTCAAACTTCAGGGAAATCTTTGTCTGAAACCACATCTATATTGCAATACCCAAGCCAGGTCTCAAAATATTCCACCAAAACCTATTTACTTGGGATTGACACTAGGATCAACACTGGATACTGTTTGGGCTATATACACCTGCACAGATAGGGCTGAAACTATAGATTTGAGAAGCTCCTTTTTAAAAAATATGATAAGTTTATCATATTATTAAAAGCCAGATTGTGTCTTTCTTACCACTCACCCCTCTCCCTTGTTATAAAAAGAATGCTTTTTCCCCCAAATTACATTGATTATACTTTTGACCTTTATAGTAAAGCTTATTCTTAATGTCTCTTAATAAACAGCATTCAGTTTTACCTTAGAAAAATGCTTGCTCTATATAAAGGCACTGTTGCTTTAAATTTCCATTCTTCATAGCCGTTTAATTTTGAGTAGTTTTTCTGTTCTACTGTAAGTGAACTTTTTTTTCCATACAAAGAAAGCTTTTTTTGTTTTTTAAAGCTG